GTACTCACAGAGAACTTCTTGTGTAGAATTTCAGACAATTCCATTATAAAATGTAATTAAAATCGTCAAAACACCGAATATCGGCATGTACAGTTATTTGAGGGATATGCGATATCGTGGACTGATATAGCTTATCTTCGAAGTTAACTCGGAGGAAGACGGGCATTTCGAAGGTGTATAATATCAATGGTCTTGCTTATTTTTAAGACCTAAAAAGACCTATCATATCTTTTGAGGATTTCCAATATAACGTAGAAGAAATAAATCATAATTAAAAGGAACATAAGGATAGTCTGAAGATTCGAAATGAATCATCAAAAGTTTTCAAAGAAATTTCTTAAATTTCGACAAACTCCAATTTCCAGCGGGGACCTTGAGGATGGAAAAAGTCTACTACTCCCCGATCACATTCTCTTCTCAAATGTGGTCAAAAATATCCTATTATGGATTCCTGCCCTCACCTACTGTGAAGACCCCGTTCGCCCCTGCAAACCAATCTGCAAGAAGAAGGCATTTAAAATCCCCCCTTTTGGAAATAAAAAATTCTCACATCGTTATCCCTATTCTCGATGGCCACTAAAGTGTGGTCGTCATATCAATTCTAGTGCCATGTCTGAGTGAGGTCTGGCGGCCGGCCTGCATGGCGTTGAAGATGAAGCGACACTGACACTGAAAGCAACACAAACAATAACTTATGGAAAATAAAAGAAAACAATAACACAAAATGCGCAACCTTTGTTGACACTCCGACGATAGTGGGTAAGTGACAAAAAAAAAATCGGTACAAAACCGGCAACTCACATACAAATAGCGATGCATATGTATGTACGAATGTGACAGGCAAACAAACAAACAAACTGGAAGGTGGGAGATTCAGAGCCCCACAACCAGCTCCATACAATTACGTCAGTGTCATCGGCGGTGTGGATTTCTGGGGAATCACTTGTTGATAGCTGACACAAAGAAAACACACTGCCTGGGGTGTTCTTCTGAAAAGACAAAACAAAAAAGAAAAACCGGCATTTAACTAACATGTTTATGTGGTTAGTTGTCGTTGTTGTGGTCGCTAGTGGGTAGTTTATTTCAGCACCTAGTTATATACTCTTTAAATGTTCAGAGAAACTCTTAGCGCCAAGCCGGCTTTACAGCGAACTCTCTCTCTCTCTCTCTCTCTCTCTTTGAATGTAAACATACCCACACATTCAAAGAATCAATGGAAAAAGATCGATTGATCCAACTATTGGTAGATTGAGCTTATGTGCGAGAGCGCTTTGAAACAAACTCTTCGGTTTCTTATCAGCCAGCTGTGTTGGAAATGCTGTAATACGTACGAACTATTTTTAGTGCGAAAAAAAGACCTGTTACGTTCTATGGAAAAATTAAATGTCCGATATAAAGAAGATTTTCTTTTGTTAGACATATCTTACTGAGGGATTAAATTTATTTTTTAGGAGATAATGAAAGGAAAGGTAAAAATGGAAGACTCATGCATCGGCGTTTTGAAAGTTTACACCACTAAGTAACCTAAATAGAGGGGTGGAAAAGTTCCTCCCTCTTCTACACTTTGGAAATATGTATGCGGTTAGAAATTCTAAGGTATACAGTGTCTTCGGCCATATTGTAGATAAAACCAGTAAAGAAAGTCCTAAAGCCGGGCGGGGCCGACTTTATGATACCCTACACCACTTTGCTAATTTAGTAGAGCTCGGCATAACAATTAAAAGTTCTTATGGGAGAATTCAATCATACACGCTAGGATTATAATTATAATTTAAAGTTCAATGGACTAAATATGCCGAAGCATTTGTATCTTTTATATTCGGGCTTGTATGGCCCATTTGGTGCACAATTAATTTGAAATCGGATAAAAATATATATGGGAGCTATATCCAAATCGGAACCGATCTCGATAAAATTTGGCAAAGATATTTCTGAGCTGTATTTGATATATTTCCCTGAATATCGTTGTTACGGAGTGCATATAACGGCTGCGGAGGACAAAAATAACAAATCGGATGAACAATATATATGGGAGCTATAGCTATATCTGAACCGATCTTCACCAAATTTGACATACTAGCTTCTAGACTCAATTTGGTCGTAAGTTCCAAATTTCATCCCATTTGTGCAAATATTAGACGTTTGATGCACAATAAAAGGTAAATCGGACGAAGTTATATATGGGAGCTATATACAAATCTGAACCGATCTCGATAAAATTTAGGAAAGGTATTTCTGAGCTGCATTTGATATATTTCCCCAAATATTGTTGTTACAGAGTGCATATTACGGCTGCGGAGGACAAAAATAACAAATCCGATGAACAATATATATGGGAGCTATAGCTATATCTGAACCGATTTCGATCAAATTTGGCATACTTATTTTTAGGTCCTTATTTTTAGGTCCAATCCATTCTATTCGGACTGATATTACACGTTTGGTGCACAATAAAAGGCAAATCGGACGAAGATATATATGGGAGCTATATCTAAATTTTGACCGATTATCTCCAATTTCAATAGGGTTCATCCTTGGCCCAAACAAATGATTTGTGTAAAATTTCATGTGAATAGGGCAATAAGTGCGAACTGTATTTCGTTTACAAAAATACATGGACAGACGGACGGACATGCATAAATTGGCTCTACATGGACAGACGGATGGACATGCATAAATCGGCTCTGGGTAAAGCAATTGAAATTCCAAAAAGTGCAAGAACTTACACCGCAACAGAAAGAAAATAAACTCAAAAGATCTAAAGAGTTGCTTCGCTTTGCCGAAAGTGGTAAACTGCCGAATTTGGTTTTCTCCGATGAGAAAACATTCGTTGTCCAGCAGTTTGTAAACAAACAAAATGATCGTGTTTACTTGCCAAAGAGGTCAGCTGAAAATATGCACCTTCGGTTGGCCACCAGCCTCCAGAAATCAAGCGCCGGCCATGGTGATGGTGTGGGCCACCATAACAGCCAATAGTCGCTCCCCGCTTGTATTGATCGACCGTGACATCAGAATAAATGCCGAATATTTTATCGCGAAAATATTCTGGAGGATGTATTAAGGCCTTGGGCACGCAAATATTTTGGCCGCAGACCTTGCACATTCCAACAGAACGCAGCACCATCGCACTCAAGACGCGCCACCCAAGAATGGTTACATAATGAGGTTCCTGGCTTCATTTCCAGCGCAAAATGGCCACCCAAAATCTCCCGATATCAATCCGTTGGACTATTGTGTCTGGAGTATTTTGGAAATCAAGGTTGGCACTAAAAATACCAAAGTGTCGAACATCCCAAGCAAGCGCTTCGCTGGGAATGGGCCAAAATACCGCAGAGCAACATTCGGACAGCGTGTGACTGCTTCATTGGCCGTTTGAAGGCCATAATTCGTGTCAAAGGTGACCAATTCGAACAAATCTAAACTTATTCTAAAATTTGATGCTACTTCCGACATTTTTTGCTTTCATTTAACAATATTTAAAAAGAGTGTAAAAATTATGACGTCTGACTTTGTTGCATTTTTTTATCTGACCCTGTACTTTTCGTTTCCCAAAAAAAGTAAAATTTTTCAAAAATTCGCCATTTGCCACCTTACCATACCACAGCTGATTCTAGTGGAAAAAACCTTCGTCTTTTATGGACCGTTCAATGATAATATTGCATATGCTGTACCTTTTAGTACTTTCATACCATTTCAGTACAAATTGTCCGAAATTACGATGTCACCAACATTTTGATTCCCTCGCTAAATTTTAAAGCTACAGCTCTTACTGAGTACCTAATATTTTGGCGTTAAGATTTTGTACTTTTTAGTACTTTTCGTACCCCAGATGTGAAAGTCGCCAATTTATCTTTTAATGTCACTCCGAGGCAGGGAGGATTATCCTCATACAATATTTTTTTAAATCATAACTTTCATCGGTAGCTTTAAAACAATATTGTACCATTTTAGATTTTCGGTCCTGTTTATTCCCTTAAAGTACGTTTAACTGAAAAGCCCAACTCAACACCAGTAATGGCCCACATACAAATTTTCATGTTATAATTCATATCGATCGATTTTCAAAATCTGGCGTTATTTCATCCCAGCATATCAAATGTGATTCCTGCCGAATTTTTAATAGCTGTACTTTTTACGCATAGTTGAAAAACAATGTTGGACAAACTTGTACGTTCTATTTCTTTTCGTGCCCTTAAAGCAGAATTTTCCAAAAATTTCGTTGAAAAATCCCGTTGTTTCTTTCACACGAAGAATGTTTTTTTTTTTTCCAAAATTTCGAAACTATAGCCCTTGCAGATCGCTCAATAACATTTTGTACCTGTTAGTACATTTTGTTCCCTTAATATATGAAGTTTTACAATTATCTCTTAATGTAGGATCGCCATGCAAAATTTGGCAACTCTACCTCTCCCGGATTCCCGTAACATGCTGACCCTTTTGGTACATATTGTACCCTTAAAGGATGAAATCTTAAAATTCTTTTATGTTAATCCTAGTCATGGAGGATGTCCCTCCCATAGTTTTTAAGTTATGGCTCTTGTTTTACATTTTGTGCCTTTTCGAACTTTTTAGTACTTTTGAACATTCTGACTCTTTGCTACATATGTATTGTACCCTTAAAGGATGAAATCTTAAAATTCTTTTTCTGTCAATCCTGGGCATGGAGGATGATCCACCCATTTTTTTAAGGTCTAGCTCTTATCTTACATTTTCGTGCGTTTTTGAACTTTTTAGTACTTTCGAACACTTTTAGTACGTTTTGTATCCTTAAAGTACAAAGTTTTAAAATTCTCTCTTTATGTCTCCCCTGGACATGGAGGAAGACCCTCATAAAATAGGTTTCAAGTTCTAGTATTTATTGTACCCCTTTTTAATATTCGTACCCTTTAAAATAAAGAATCCCAATATAGTACGCCTAATACCCTCATCTCATCACTGTCATCACTATCTTGGCACTCGCACTCACTCGTCGCTGTATTCAAATGAGCTTCACCACCGCCATTCGGCATTCAGTCTTACTTTAGCTTAGGTCCGCTTCAGTTCGTCGCCGTGTTTTTCTACTTCTCGTCTTAACGAATTTCGGGTAAAAAAAAAAAACAAAAGTTTAGTTTCTGTTCAAACCCGACTTGGTCATCATAGCTCATCCGCAAATATGAGGCGGACAATTAGCTTTGCTTTTGTGTTTTTACAAATTTTGTTACTCGTCAATGCTACTGGGTAAGTGAGGTGCATTTTTTTGTTTGTTTGGATTTCCCAGAAAAGTGATTTTTACAATGTAATGGGTAGCCCCGCCACCCCTCACACTCTTTGAATTCGACTGAATTTAAAGGAATTGATCACGTTTGGCCATAACTCAAATTGTGGCCGTGTAAACAATTATTTGAATTGAATTATTGAATATTTTTATTTTTTTATTTGTTGTTATTTTGAAAATAAATAAAAATTACAAAAAAATGATGGGCAATTGAAAAAAAGTGTTTACTTTTGTGCTTCGCTTCAATAGCTCGGTGCTAATTAATTTATTTACAAAAAATATTTAACGGAATTGAAAATGGCTAGAGATATGGTGCACAAACATTTCGCGTGTAGTGGCTGATGAATAAAAATAAATGTGAATGCATTTATTTTTAGGAAGATATCATCGTCCTAAGATCGATACGAAGAGTTTAGCATGAATAAAAAAATTGACTAAACACCACTTAGAAATTAAGTCAAAGATATAAAACTATTTACGGAGTTAATCTGATTTGCATTTTTTTTTTAAGAGTATCTCAAATTTTTGAATGTTCCTCATTCTATTTCTCTGTTTTACAACTCAAATTTCGTTATATCCTTCTCCAAATTTTATCTTGTGTCCCTAACAAATTTTGTATCTGCCCAGGGGCAACTTAAGAGCTATATAATCCACTGTGTGATATCTTTTGCATTGCCAAAAGGTTAAAAATAATGGGTTATTCCTGCAACAAAAAAAAAAAAAAAAAAAAAAAAAAAAAAAAAAAAAAAAACAAGTAAAAAAGCAGCTAAGTTCCGAAGCCGAACTTTTAATATCCTCCACAATTTTCAAGTTACTTGAAAATTTTCAAAAAAAAAAAAAAAAAATAAATAAATAAATAAATAAATCCGGAAACTATCAATTAAATGAAAACTGTTATGTGGAGACTATACGAATATGTGGGCCTGTATACGAAATTTTTTGTCATAGACTATAGTATCCATTACGAACTTCAAATACCAAATTTGAAACAATTCCGGAGACATTATTCACTAAAATCATCAAAATAACGAGTATCGGGAGGTACCGTCATATGAGGGCTATACGAAGACGTGGACCTGCATACAAAAATGTTTGCCACAGGCTGCAGCACCCATTACAAACTTCAAGTACGAAATTTTAAAAAAGTCCGGTAAATAATTCGCTAAAATCTTGAAAATATCGAATACGGGGAGGTACTGTATATAGGGGCTATACGAAGACGTGGACTCACAGATTGTGTGAGTCGAACTACAAAACTCCATAGTGAGACTCGGTGTTGGCAGCGATGAGGAAAAATACTCATTACCAATGTGCTTACCCATCCACCCATTATTTGTACAAGGTCGGGTAGCACGAAATTAGTGGTCGAAAAGTCAATTTAATAAGTGCTTATTTATCCGCTTTGTTTTCAAAATCCAATTTGGTTGGTCATCGAATATTATTTTCTTTTTGTAGGGTATCACATGATCGGCCCCGCACGAAAATAGCCTTGTTCACTTGTTATACCCTTAGCCATATGACTACAGCGGGTATACATCATTCGATAAGACCTAGGGCTTAGGCCCTAGGTCTCTTTGAACCAAATCAGTTTAAGGACATTTTAAGTCGATCTAGCGATGTCCGTCCATGCATCTGTCTGTCTGGCTGGCAAGTGCGCACAATAACTCCCGAAGGAAGAATCCGATTTGGTCCCAACTTTGTACATCGTAATATTATTATCAAACCTAGATCGAGCTCAGAGATGGGCAACATCGGTCTACTCCTTCTGGTACCTCGCCAACAAAAGGTCGACATTTTGAATATTAATGCAACTTATAAAATGCGAAATTATCATACGATTCCATTCAGACTTGGCACGTCTCAATATTTCCATCAACACAAGATCTGGTATAAAGATGGTAGAGATCGAACCATTCCTTCTGGTACCTCCGCCACAGAAGGTCAAAGTTTTGAATAAGCAAAATAAGAATATAAAATCCGAAATAAGCATCCGGTTCTTTTCATATTGCACACATCCCATTATTTCTACGAACACACGATCTGCTGTGAAGATATAATATATCGACCTACTCCTCCTGGTACCTAGCCCACAAAGGGTCAAAATTTTGAGTATCTTTGAAGCTCATAAAGCGCGAAATTTACATTATTTCCATCAACACAAAATCTGTTGTAAAGAGATAGGACCATTTCTTCTGGCACCTCCCCCACATAGCGTTCAAGATTTGGAAAAGAAAACGCTCATAGAAATAATCATCCACTTCTCTTAACATTTCACACATACAAACATTTTTCCTAAAACATGATCTGTTGTGAAGATGATATATACCTGCGAACACTTCTAGTACCTCATGCAGAAAGGGTCACAAGTTTCAATATTTTTATTTGTCATAACTTGCGAAACAAGTCAGAGATATTTTATAACTTGCTTTATCTGAAAAGGTTCATAGTTGGTATGATCTATTTCACATAAATTCTCAATATGAACTTATTTGTTACGGAAGCTCTAATAAATGCGCATAGTGGTGTAGGGTTTTCCTCATTGGTTATATTTAGTGTAACGGTTACATATATAGGTGATAATTCCTCATCATTACTCTTTCCATTTATTATTTTTTATTTTCATTTCTTAAAATTAATTAAAAAGTATCCAAAAATATGATTTTCAGAAATGCACCTCTCAAATGGAGGGGGAGGAGAACTTTTAGTGGGTGGATTTTTTTCTTAACTACTCTATCTACCTACACAAAAATTTGTTTATACTTATACCCTTTTCATATTGAATATTTTTTATTCCCTCCACCATACACCGTATGGAGTTCGTCATTCCGTTTGTGACTCATCGAAATAATAATTTTGGACCCAACAAGGCATATATATTCTTGATCAGCGCAAAAATTCTAAGAGGAGATTGCCCTGTCCTTCTGTTGTAATCACGCTACAATCAAAACGAATTAAGATAGGAAGCTAAAATTTAGCACAGATCTGTCTTTTGTCTGCAGGCAGGTCAGTTCGAAGATGGGCCCCCATACAACGGTACTCCCTGGTATTCGGTATTTTGATGATTTTAGCTTAAGTTTTCAATGCCATTTTCAGAAATTCTACACAAGGAGTTCTTTATGAGAGAATTGTCAATATAGGTCCAAGATATCGTATAGCCCCCATATAAAGGTATGCCCCGATATTCTGTATTTTGATGATTTCAGCCAATTTTTTTTGTTTCAAATGTCGTATATAAAGTTCGGAACAGTTATTACAGCCTACGACACAAATAATTTATAAAGGACCACGTCTTCGTATTGTCACATTTAACGGCTTTCATTTGAGCGATATTTTCCGACGGATTTTTTTTTTTTTTTTTTGAAAATTTTCTAATTCGTTTCAAATGGTGGAGGGTATTCAAAGTTCGGCCCGGCCGTACTTACTGCTTCTTTACATGTTTTTAATGATGTTTTTACTGTTAGAACTTATTAAGGGTATAAATCTGTCAACTAATACCTTCTTAATTATTTATCTATGAAATGGAGAAGTTGAATCGGGTAAACTAAGGAATGAAAATATCATTGCCCGAAGTAAGGTTTTTTAGGACAGCGACTTCAAAACCCTACTTCATTTGAATCAACCTTTATTGAATAACCAATAGACACTGGTCTGGTAATAATTAAATAGTTCTACAGCAAAAATATTTTTTTATGTGGTTTTCTATAGAAGATCGTCCGAATAATTATATTTGGTGATAATTGAACAACCACCTTTTTTACCATTCTATGGATGACAATTTCAAAAAAAAAAAAAAAAAAAAAACTCTTCTGGTCCTCCATTGCATTCTATTCTCGGGTGGAATACCCCCCATTAGAGATGTCCAGTGAAAGTTATTTACCCATATATAATCGTTCCCAAACATTTATAAAATTAATTCAAACCCTCATTATTTGTTGACAACACCGGTTAAGCTAATACTACAAAACCTTTCTTTTGATTTTTGTTAATTTTATAAGAAAGTATAAATTAACATTTTTCATGTTTTGTTTTTTTTTTTTTTATCGTATGACGTGCGCTCCGCAAAAGATTTATTCATAATTAACTATTTAAAACAAAATCGATGAATGTCGAATTGATTGGTTAGTCTTATCACCACCAGTAGCTGAGGTGGAACTGTAGCAGATGTGAATTAAGAAAAAAAAAAAAAAAAACAAAAACTTTTTTTGAAAAAAAAAAAACGCTTGAACCTGTTTGTGTTCATTGGGTTTTCCGTTCTTTTTTTCGTATAACTTAGAATTACACAAACAACAAAAGCACATAATTTTAACCTTATTTTATTGATGGGTCAGAAAATTGTTGATAATCTCAATATTGAAATGGGTATGGTTGAAAAAAAAAATATTTAATTTTTTTTCCATAACAATTCGAAGAAATTGTCATCTTGCCGAGATTTAAGTGTGACACGATTACATTGTGTGAAATAAAAAAACAACTTCATGTAAACCATTTGTAATTTTCTCAATTACTTGGAACTTTTTTCGAGTGTGTTTTTGTCTGGCATTACACAAAAGTATATATGTCGTCGTTGTTATGCTTAAGTGTGCCGTATGCTATAAAATACAGGGGGAAATCAAAAGTTTTTCCGTATGTTCTTTCTGAGATATAATACGCAACACTCCGTCAGACAGGCAGACAGAGAGACGGTTGGACGGAAAGGTTCATGCTGTTAAAACGACTCCAAATGTCCTGAAGTGGACTTTTTCTTGAAAAACATGGGACTTTAAAGTTGGGCTTTTAATATTTTTGTGGATATTTGAAGATACTCCGCGGGACTCGAAACGTGGTGTTTTTTTCTAAAGATCCCAATGGCCTTTAGACGTGAATTTTTTAGAGAATACAAAGGACGTCGAACATGAGCTATTTAAAGATTTTAAGAGACCCAAAGACCTTTAAATTTAGCCTTAAAACGTGGATTTTTCTAAAGATTTTTTAGAGACCCTAAAGGTCTTCAAACGTCAATTTTTCTAAAGATTTTCTTAGAGACTCCAAAGACCTTGAAACCTGGACTTTTCTTAAAATTTTTTCACATACCCCAAAGGCCTTAAAACGTGGACTTTTCTAAGGATTTTTTTTAGAGATCCCAAAGGACTTGATATTTGGATTTTTCAAAAGATTTTTGCAAAGACCCCAAAGGCCTTCAAACGTGGATTTTTTTGATTTTTTTTTTTTCCGAAACCCCAAAGGCCTTAAAACGTGGATTTTTTTCAGATACCCCAAAGGCATTCAAAGTTTTTTTTTTCCAAAAGCCTTGAAAAGTGAACTTTTCTCAAGAATTTTTAGAGACCCCAAATACTTTGGAACGTGGATTTTTCTAAAGATTTTTTTAGAAACCCCATAGGAGTTCAATCGTGGATTTTTCTAAATATTTTTTTAGAAACCCCATAGGAGTTCAATCGTGGATTTTTCTAAAGATTTTTCCAAAAGCCTTGAAAAGTGAACTTTTCTCAAGATTTTTTAGAGACCCCAAATATTTTGGAAAGTGGATTTTTCTAAAGATTTTTTTAGAAACCCCATAGGAGTTCAATCGTGGATTTTTCTAAACATCAGAGAGGGTTCCAATTAAAATGTGGATTTTCTAAAGATTTTTTTAAAGAAGGTTGCACTTGAAACCTGAATTTTTTCTAAAGATTTTTTGAGAGGTCCCAAAGGCCTTAAAACGTGGATTTTTCTAAAGATTTTTTCAGAAGTTCCAAAGGCCTTAAAACGTGGATTTTTCTAAAATTTTTTTCAGAGGTCCCAAAGGCCTTAAAACGTGGATTTTTCTAAAAATTTTGTCACAGGTCTCAAGGGCCTTAAAACTTGGATTTTTCTAATGATTTTTTCAGGGGTCCCGGGAGATTTAGAATTTTTTTTTTTTAGATTTTTTTTTAGAGAATTCAAGGTTTTGAAACGTGAATTTTTCTACAATTTTTTTTGAGACCCCAAAGGTCTTGGAACGTGGGATTCAAGGCTTTTATCTATTGAAGAAACTTGAGTTTTACAGACCTGAAAAGCGGATTTTTTAAAGTTTTTAAACTTAGATGTCAAATATCGGGTTTTAAGGGTTTTTGGAGTGATCTTTCTAAATTTTTTATATCCTTTTTCCGATATTTGTTTTAATTTCCAAGATACCCACCTTAAAATGCCATTTGTAGAGGTTTGTGTTGTTAAATAAATTCTGCAGTAGGAAAATCTATCAGAGGTCTTCTAGCGACAGAAGAGCTTCAATGGTTTTTTATAATGGTAAGGCAAAAATAATTTCACAAAAAAGGTTCATGGGCGAGAGATCTTTCCGATGGCAGAAGACCATTTAGGAGTCTTCTGTATATGAAATATCTTTCAGTAGTTTTCGTTAGATTAGATGCCTTCTAAAGGTACTTTAGAGACCGAAGACCTTTCGCACATTTTATATAGACCCAAGACCTTTCAGATGACTCTTAGAGGTAAAAGACCTCACTGAAGTCTTTAGAGACTTGACGGGTCTTCTATAGTCAAAAGACCGTTTAAAGTCCCTCCATACCCGTAAGACCTTTTAAAAGTCTTCTCGAAAATAATATCTATCAGAGGTATTCTATATATTTGAGACCATTCAGATATTTCATGAGGCTTTTAGGTCGTACATAAACAGAACACAATTCGGGGGTATTTTATATACAGAAGACCACTCAGAGTTATTTTATCGGGAGAATACCTCTCTGCTGTCGTCTATAGACAAACACCTCTCAGAAGTATTTTCTAGAGATAGACTATCTCTAAGATAATCCCTATATGCAGAAGTTTTCACAGATCTTTTTTTATAGGCAGAATACTTGTTAAAGGTCTTCTATGGACAAGACAAGTTTTTATATTTCAGAGTCAAAAAGGTATCAAAAGTATCTTGAGAAGAAAAAAACATTCAGAAGTTTTCTGAAGGCAAAGAAATTTTCAGTGGTCTTCTATGGCCCGTCCAATGGTTTCCTATAGTCTAATAAACTTCTTTTATATACATGAGTGCATTCAGAGATCTTCTCTCAGAGGTCTCCTATGGACATACGATTTCTCAGAGATCCTTTCGACACCGAAAATCTTCATTAATCCTTCTTTAGACAGAAGGCCTGTATGGTGTCTTTTTGGAGACAGAAAAATTCTAGGGAGAGAGAGAGAGAGAGAGAGGAAGTGCCAAAAGTCAACAGCTCGACAAGATGTTAATATTCTCCAGAGACAGAAAACCTCACAGAAAGTCTACGGTCTTCTTGGAACAGAGGTCCTATGAGATGAGACAGACTTCTAGGGTCCACATGACACAGAAGGTTCCTGAGAGATCTTTTCCGAAACAGAATACTTCTTAGGGGATTTCGGGAGAAGCCACGTCTTTCTCAGCCACGTATCTCTCTCTCACAGGGCTTCTGGAGACAGGCAACTTCTCAGTAGTCAAGTCAAGTACGATCCGAAGACCTTTCAAACGACTTCTAGGGACAGAAGACCTCTGAGAGGACTTTTTGAGACAGCGGACATCTCGGAGATCCATTTGGCATAGAAATTCTCTAAGAAGTCTTTAATAGAGAGAAGGCCGTCTTTCAGAGGATTTCGAGGAATTCAAGATCTCGAAGAGGCCTTCTATAAATAGACGTCTGATCCGAGGTCCTCTAGAGGCAGACGACTTCTGGAGTCCCGGAGACACCCCTAAAGCTAGAAGTACGTCCAGAGGTCTCTCAGAAGTGATGGAACTTTCAGACAAATACTATAGACAGATGACTTTTTTAAGACAGAAGTCTCACAAAGGACTTCTCATAGTTGTACATAAACAGAGAACCTTTCAACAGACTTTTGTAGGCAAAAGGCAAAGTTCGCCTAAAGATATTCGAAGTTTCTGAGATCTTCCATAGATGGAAAACCCGTCAGAGGCCTTATTTACGATCAAGAGTTATAATTCAAAACATTTTAATTGCAATTCGATAATTTTATTTGTAAAACATCATTTTGGAAAACTCCAATTACTAATGAAAAAATCGGAATACAAATGAATATTATGAATTACAAATGGAGTTCTCGAAATTACAACTTCTGGAATAGGTTTAGAAATTACTCCTTTCCAGGTCTGCTTTAGACGAAAACCTTTAAGAGATCAAAAGACCAGTCTGAGGTTCTAAGTGGTCAAAAACCCACTTACAGGTACTTTATAGATCAGAGATATTTCAGAGGGGTTCTAATGATAAAATACTTTTCATAAGTCCTATAGAGAACAAGGCCTTAAGAAATCTTCCACAGAATTGCTTTCTCAGATCATATTTCGACAGACACACTTCCACATGTCTTCCGTAGATAAATAAAGACCCACAGATGTTCAACGGAATTTTTGGCAGATTTTCCTTACGAAGAGAAATATTTTACAGATATTCTTTAGAAGAGAGGCCTTTATAAGTTATCTATAGACAGAAGGTGCTCTACAGTTCTTCAATGCATTAAAAACCTTTCAAAGGTCTTTAGAAGAAGATCCCACCCTATATTTGAAAAATAGTCCCGTTCTTAGGTCTTTTGTCAAAAAATCTCTTAGGTTCTAACAACCGTGTCGAATCAACACATATTTCAATATTTGATACTTTTTTAAGACAAATTTATAACAAAAATCCCGTGGCGTATTGGCGCATACGTGTTGGCAGCACTTATACGCAACAGTAGCAGCAATTTTTTCCATGCAACCATTTCATTTACGTCTCCATATTTTTTTTTTTACTTTTTCAGATTCTATACCATTGTAGCGCCCGGAACCATTCAATCCAATTATGAATACGATGTCAGTGTTACCCTGCACGACAGCCCTGAACCGGCAAAAATTAAAGTGGGAATAACGGGTAAAAAATATAATAACACCCAAACCGTCAATGTGGCCAGTGGTGAGACAAAAGTTGTACACTTCGACATAACCCAGCTAGAAGATGGTGACTATAAACTGGAAACCGAGGGCGTTAAGGGTTTAACCTTTAAGAACTCCACTGAGTTGGTCTATAAAAATGAAGGACCCAAGGTCTATATACAAACGGACAAGGCCGTCTATAAACCTGGTGATTTGGTACAGTATCGCATTCTTGCACTCGATGAAAATACCAGACCCGCTAAGTTGCACGAACCCCTAAATGTGGGCATACGTGATGGGGCCGGAAACCACATCAAACAACTGAACGATATTCAAATGACCAAGGGTGTATATGCCGGCGAATTCCAACTATCCGAACAACCTGTCTTGGGTAACTGGGTTTTGGACGTTACCGCTGGCAAGGAGAACAAAGCCAAGACAGAGAAAAATTTCGAAGTGGCCAAATATGTTTTGCCCAAATTTAGTGTGGAAATTGAAACGGCCAAGGATGTGGCCATCTATGATGGTGTCATCAAGATTACAGTGCGGTCCAAATACACCTATGGCAAGCCTGTGAAGGGTAAGGCCACCGTTAGCATTGCCTCTTCATCTCGCACTCAGGCGGCGGAAAAGACCATCGATGTTGATGGCAAAGGCCATTTGGAATTTGATATGGTCAAGGATCTGAAATTGGACAGAAGTCAGTTCGATAGCATGTCTCAAAATCAATTCCGCTACTACGGCTATTTGCCACCGTTGGAAGTCTTGGCCGTCGTCACCGAAGGCTATACGGGAAATTCCCAGAATAAGACTACCTCAATTAATTTGGAACCGTCCCGCTATCGCATCAATGTCCCCCAAAATGTTTACGAATACGTTCCAAAGAAGCCATTCGAAATTAAGGCCTACGTTCAGAAGTTGGACGGCTCTCCGGTACGCGATGCCAAGACAAAGGCCAAGTTGAGCATCAAGAGACAAAGTTACTATTGGATGCCAGCTGAAGAAAAGATCAAAGCCGATTATGTCTATGAATCGGATGTAAAGGATGATGGTTCGGTCTTGTTCACGGTGACAATTCCCGATACGGGTTATTATGGTGATGTTACCATCCAGTATGAGGAGAAAACTCATTATTTGCCGGGAATACGTTCGAAAGAGGAGGAGAAGTCGTCGGACGACAAGAGCGGAGAGAAGAAGGAGGAGTCTTTTGGCCCCTTGAAAATTGTCAAGAAATCCGAAAGGTAAGGGAGGGGGGAAGCCTTTAGTATAGTATAGTATAGTATAGTATAGTATAGTATAGTATAGTATAGTAGAATATTGAGAAAAATGAGAAACTTATGTCCCATCTCTTTTCACTTAGCTATAAATTGTCCGATGATGTTGAATTTGAGGTTAAATCCGATGACCCAATGCCCTATTTCGTCTATGTCATTACGGGACGTGGTAAAATTTTGGAACAGAAATACGTTGCCTTAGAGGATAATGTAAAATCGCATAAGGTCTCGTTGAAGCCCACTTTCGATATGGTACCCAATGCCAAAGTCTATGCCTACTATGTTAAAAATGGCGATTTGAAATTCAATGAAGCCACCATTAATTTTAGCGATGATTTTGAAAATAAGGTAAGCCCCATAGCGACTGTCCTCAAAAAAAAAAAAAAGATTAAATTTTGATGTTTCTTAGATCGAAATTACGGCCCCGGAACAAGCCAAGCCCAGCGAGGAAGTAACGCTAAACATTAAAGCTGATCCAGATTCTTTCATTGGCCTCATGGGTGTTGATCAGAGTGTCTTGCTCTTGAAAGCCGGCAATGATTTAGACCCAAAGTCCATAAAATCCGATTTGAATTCGTATGACACTCGAACTCCTTACATTCGCGGCTGGGGTGATTATCCTGGCAAGGAATCGGGTTTGGTCACTCTAACCAATGCCAACTATCCGTACAATGAAGGTAAGTGCAGTTCTGGCGATTCTGGAGTTGCGTGAATTGCGTTGACGATGAGAGAAGCTGAAATTAGAAATGATTTATTTCAAAATAGGTGATTAGGGGGATATGTGGTGTAATAAGTTCGAAAATCCTATTTTTACAATAACTCAGAGGAATATTTTTGATTCTAAGTGTTTTTCGGTGTTAAAAGAGGGGCGAATCACTTCAACGTTTTGAAAAAAAATTTATGAAAATTCTTCTTGGAATAAAAGGTCTTGAAAAATCTTTTCGTTTGTGTCTATGTACAAAGGAGCTCTTTCGAGCTATGAGAGAAGACATCTGAAATTTTATATACACAAAATAAATCCGACATGAAAACGATCAAAAAATCTCCGGCAGCTGTTGTCTGTAAGGGGGATGACCTCCAAAGAGGTTCTCAAAAGCCTTCAGGATATTTTAGAGAATGATTTTAAGAAGAAAAGTTGGCCATGACCCCTCCTTAAGATTGAGGCACTGAGAAGAGTTCAGACAGCTTTTTGTCGTGTAGAAGTAGAAATTTAAGAGTTATTCAAAACGTAAACAAAATAAGAAAAGACTTCCCACAGGCCTCAAGGATTTCTTGAGGGACTCTTTATGTGCCACAGCGCACTGGAAGCTTTTCGTCAAATAGAAGATGAAATTTGGAAGTTCTTATATATCCAACCTGACAAAATAATATCTCCTTGAGCTGTTTTTTTTTCTGTTTTTTGTACAGAAGACCTCCTAGACTTCCCATATATATTACAGATCCGACAGTACTTCTCAGATACCTCCAGAAAATAGTTTTACGAATAATTTCCTTATAAAGAAGGCCACTGATAAGTATTTATAAAAGAGTTCCGAAAGCTTTCAGTCTATACATAAACAAATGGGAACCGAAGATCTCTGGGGGCTCTTTTTTTGTAAAGTGGGCTTTTGAGAAGCACTTTCGGGAGTTCTTCTATACTCAAAAGATCCGACGGGACTTCTCAGAAGTCTCCTGAAATTTAGAATAGAAGGAAGAAGAAGCCCACTGAAAGGTTTTTTTGTATTGATCTTATCTATAAAAGCTCTTGAGTGGAATAGAAGAAGTCCTCTTATTACGTACATAAAAGTAAGTCTACTTGAGCTTTCTTTTGTTAAAGAGGCTCCGTTGAAGGTCCTTTTTATTTCTTGAATGTATGGGAAAGCTCTGCTCGTATAAAAGAAAGCTTCTGAGATTTCTTGTTTATTTCAAAGAAATCCGATAGGACCTTTTAGAGAATTTTACGATGAGAAGCTCACCTTCCTTAATATTTTTATTTGCAAAAGAGCTTTTTGTCCTAATTATAGAGTCCTTAGAGAGAAAACTTTGGTGACGTCTTCGGGACTTCTCAGAGAATTATTCTTCAAACAAAAGGTTTCAGAAAGGTGTTCTTGGTAAATAAGGCCTCTGAGAAGTCCTTTCGCATTCCATTGTTAAGGAGGCCTTTGCGACGTCCTTTCGCTCAGTGAGCTTTTCGTCTCGTAGTAGAAGTCATTCGAAATTTCTCCTATACATTAAAGAAACCTAACAGGACTTATCGGATGGCTTATGTCCTTCTCAGAGAATTCTACTCCGTACCGAAGGTCTCCTTCTGTTATTCTTTTATTTATAAAAGAGCTTTTTGCTTTAAAGATGAAATTCTCTGAGAGAGGATATCTAAGATAATTTTTCAACGAATTAAAGGTGCCTGTGAGCTTTCCTATATTCGTATTTCATTTATGTTTATTAGAATCCTGAAAGCTTTTCGTCGTCGTGAAAGCTTCTGTTGAGAACTAAGTGGCTTATGTTATGTTTTTGAACTCAAGTATCTTCCCTGTATACATAGAAGCCATCCACCGATTTTTTATGTTAAATCTTTCCACGGTTTTTTATTATTGATTTGAAGATGTCTAAGGTTTTTTTTGGAAAATTGTGGAAAAGAGCTTTGGAAGCTTTTTCATCTACTGAAGAAACTTTAGAATACTAATAGCTGTCTTGTATACATAGAAGTACCCCTTTCAGCGATTTCTTATAAATAGGACGTCGTCTAAAGCTTGGATACTGAAGAAAAGCTCTTCTCTTGGTAAGCTCTTACATAAAAGGAATTCTCTCAGAGAGCCTTTCTATCAGAAGGTGGGACTCTCTTAAAGAGCTTTCCGATTAACAGAAGGACAGTTTTCTTTAGAGGACAGTTTAAAACTGAAAGTTCTTATTTTTTATAGCATGGGGTCTTTTACTCGGAAATCGCGCACAGATATTTTTTATGGAAAGCTTTCAGCAATTTCTTATAGGTATGAAGTTTTGAAGGTTTTTTTTTTGGAATCTATTAACAATGTATTTCTTTGGTTTGACACCTATTGAAAAAGAGCTGGGAGAGATCTTCTATTTAAGAAATTCTCTCAATGAGTCTTCTATCGGCAGAAGAAAATTTAGTCGACGGCTAAGAACCTAACGCTGTTAACTATACTTTTTAATTATAAAAAATCTATAACGTGGTTTTTGGAGGTTTCTCAGAGATATTTTATGAAAAAGCTTTCAGCGAGTTCCGATAGATATTAAATTTCAAAGTGTTCTTTGGATACAGACTACAATGTCACTTCTTGATGAAGCACCAATTGAAAAAGAGCCCCGAGAGCTCTTCCATGTATGAAAATTTCTGAGAAAGCTTTTCGATCAGCAGAAGAAACTTTAGAAGATTCTTGAAAACTAAAAGCTTGGAAGTCAGCCTTCAGATTTTCTATTGAAAGCTTTTAACGATTTTTATAGAGAGAAAGGTTTTACAAATGATATTATCTTCCCTTGGCAAGAAGAAGAAGAAGTCCCCCTCAGATATTCTATTGAAAGCCTTTAACGATTTTTATAGAGAAAAAGTTTTCAAAAGCTTTTTTGTGGTTACAAATGATATTATCTTCCCTTGGAAAGAAGAAGAAGTGCCCCCTCAGATATTCTATTGAAATCTTTTAACGATTTTTTATAGAGATACATTTTTCAAGAGCTTTTTTTGGTTACAAATGATATTATCTTCCGTTGGCAAGAAGAAGAAGAAGAAGTGCCCCCTCAGATATTCTATTGAAAGCTTTTAACGATTTTTTATAGCGATACATTTTTCAAAAGCTATTTTTGGTTACAAATGATAATATCTTCCCTTGGAATGAATAATGAAAAGTTTCCCTTAAATATTCTATTGAAAGCTTTTAAGCATTTTTTATAGGGATAAATTTTTCAAAAGCTTTTTTTAATACAAATTATATCTCCCTCGGCAAGAAGTCCCCCTCAGATATTCTATTGAAAGCTTTTAACGATTTTTTTGTAGACATAAATTGTTCAAATTATCTTCCCTCGATAAGAAGAAGTCCCCCCCCCTCTCAGATATTCTATTGAAAGCTTTTAATGATTTTTTATGGAGATAAATTTTCCAAAAAAAAAACTTTTTTTGGTTACAAGTGATAATATCTTCCCTTGACAAGAGATTTTGTATATTTTTGGAGATCATCTGTCATTAGAAAAGCTTCCTATTTTTTTTTTTCAACATTATTACACCACTATCCTATGTAAGAAAATAAGATTACAATCTAAGAGAAAAAAAAACTTCTTGACGACTTTAAACCAACAAAAAACAAACCACCAACTTTTTGCCTAAGAGCGTATTGTACCCGAGGCTGGAGCTGATTATTTAGAAGATTCACCGATAGCTTATGAAGAGGCAGTGTTTCTCGAATCTGCCCACGAAACTGAAGAAAGCTTTGATGATGGCGTTACCAATGGTGATAATTTAAAGATACGTAAAGATTTTCAAGAAACATGGATTTATAATGACAAACTTAGGTTGGTTTCCGAAATGAAAAAAAAAATATAACAAAAACAACAACATATTTAATAATTGCTCACAGCTAAAAAAAACAAAACTGGTTTTCGGCGGTTTTTGTTCTCTCCTCTGTTTCTATTGGATTTGGGGATATGGGCGGGGGTGTTGGTAATGCTACATGCCATCAAGTGATATATCTAAAAACAAAAACAACAACAGCAATATAAAAATATTATAATTAATATTGGAACTAATCTTGAATTGAAAAACAAAGGAATTAAACATTGTCTCGCTTTCTAATCCAAAACCTAAACCGAACGATGGAAATTTCAGAAAAATGTGTGAATAAAAAAATTTAGAGAAAATATGTTATGGAGTTGTTTTAAATAAAAAAATAAACTTTTCATCAAATCCATAAACTTTATTTTAGGTACTTGATATGAAAAAAAAGTGAAAACATATCCCACCACATGTCTCAATGAAATTTATAAAAAAAAACCTCTTCCACCAAAAAAAAAAAAAAACTTTTTTTAGATTTCCCCATATATCGACCACTTTATGGAAGGCCAGGACTGCCAGGACTGCCAGGTCCACCGGGACCAGCAATGCCCCTGGGACCGTCTGGTCCTGTAACCATTGCGTTAGAATCAACTGCTGCTCTACGACCAGGTCCCATTTCAGATCCGCCCAAAGTTCGCAAAGAATTTATCGAAACCTGGATATTTGATAGTTTACAAAAGTATGCGTATGGGATTATATCAATATCATGTTTTTCCCCCAGATCAATATTATGTCATAGCTTATAGCTTTTTTCGAACACAGAAAAAAATCGAAAGTGCTTTGTAGTGGTGTTGGTAGTGTAGAATGCGTAGTATATATGGGTTCTTATTCATTTTTGCTTCTAAAATTCACAGAAGGGAATTTCACGATGAAGATGAAAAGTATCGGAATACATAAATGGGATGATGATGGCTCTAAAATATCTAAATTTAATAAAAAAACAAATATACAAATATTTAAATCTTTTTATGGTATCTCTGATATGTGAAGTATATAGAATTGCTCTAAGAGGACATCTGTGCATGGAAATGCTCTCAAATATCCTATGTGCAGAATGGATCTTTCGGAGCTTTTCATTTCCTTAAAAAAATGTCAGTGATATTCTATGCCTAAATTAACTACTAGAGGCCTTATATACCCAGAATATATATCTTTTGTATGAAGATTTATATTTTATATGAAGATTTTTCTAAGTAAGAGCTTTTTAAGGATTTATTTACATGGAAGAGCTTTCTGAGTGCTATTTTATGAACAATCAGATTTATTTGTTAAAAAAAGCATTAGAGAGGCTCTCTGATTTTTTGTATGCAAAGACCTTTTTACCTAAAAAATCTCTGAGCAAAGCTTCCCTTACAAAGAACTGTGTTCTATTTCTAAAAAAAGCTTCCAGGGATCTTCTATACCTAAATTAACTCTCAGATGTCTTCTATATACAGATAATAGCTGAGTTATTTAAAGAAGGGTTCTATGAAAGCTTCTTGAAAGTATGTTTACACGGCAGAGCTTTCTGAGTGTCACTTAACATTACCTCCCATACAGGAACAGTTAATAAAAGCTTTAAGATCCTCTTCACAATGTAAAAATAAAAGCACTCTGAGGCTTCCGGGACTTTTTGATTTCTTTCAGAGATTTTCTTTATACCCATATACATAAACTCTCAGATGTCTTATATACATAAAAGTAGCTGCGTTTCCTGAAGAAAAGCATTGCGGGAAAAAGCTTCGAGAGGATATATTGACACATAACAGCTTTCTGAGTGCTACTTAATATACGATCACTTAGAAAGGCTTCTTAATAAAATAATTCATATTCTCTGAGATTTCCTTTCCAAAAGAAAAAATAGCATTTTTTCTCTTAAATTATCTTTGTACTGCGACACATGTGGATGCTCGTGCACACCATTTTTTTTATATGTTAATAGTTCTCAGAGGTTTCTTTCCATAGAAACGCTCTTAGCTAGTTTTCTCACGTCTACTAGCTATATGAAGTATATTGTAACAGCGGAGAGCACCCAATGTTCGTCCATATCTAAATAAGCTCTTCCAGTTAATGTATATATAAAATAATTCTCAGTCGTCTTTTTTACATGGAAGAGCTTTTTTAAGTTTTCTATTAAAAAGAAGAAGGATTACCTAATTTCTAGAAGAAGACCTCCCATGGAGCTTTCAATAGCAAGAAGAGTTTTTAGTAGTTTAATTTACATAGCAGAACTTCCGGAGGTTCTTTATGCTATGATTATGACTTCTTCACTTGGAAGTGCTATTAGAGGCTACACACAGGTCCGGACTACGTAAGATATTTTTTTATAAAGGACCTCTCCTTGAACATGACTCTATTTATGTAGTTACGTTTTCTGACATGTATTTTGCGGATGAAAGCTATGAGGAGACTTATATGTGCAAAACAGTTCTCAAATGTCGTCTATATATGGAAAACTTCTTTGATGATGAAGGACTCTGGACCCTTTAAGTGATCTCTGAAAATGACATTAAAGAGTCTTTCTATATTAAAATGTGCCATGGTAGATCTTTTGTAAGAAAGACACGCTCTTAGATCCCTCCGAAGTGTATATTTTTAATAATAGCCCTTCTCAATGTAGATAAGCTCTTCGCGGCTTTTTTCTGACCCGTAAAGCTTACTAAGAAATTTTGTGCTCATAGAAAAAATCTTATAGTTTTTCTCCTTAACAAAGGAGAGTTCTCTGCAATATTATATTATCGAAAGACCCATATAAGGCGTTGTTGAAATGCTATCTAGATCTTCTTTACAAAGCAGTCCTCTGCCTTCTTAAAAGTTCTATAATATCTTTAAAGTAAAGGAGTTCTTAGTGGTTTCCATATATATACATGTAATAGCTTTTGATCTCCCTGTTACAAGAATTCTCTCAGATCTGTTACATTGAGAGCAGCTTTCTAAGTTCTTCCACTTTTGTACACAAAAAAAGAGGTATTCAAATTAGAAATAAAAACTATCAGAGATTGCCTGCTTATAGATGAGCTCTCATAGACCATATGATGATGGTGAGCTTTCATAGGCCAAACGACCTATTTGAGGTCGTTTGGGAGGAGCTCTCTTTGGTCAGCTTTTTACAATTAAAAGCTCTCAAAGTTCTTATCTATATATTAAAGACCTCGATCTCTCCCATTAACAGGGCTTTCAGGGTTTTCCATACAAAGGAGGCTTTCGCAAACCTTCTTTCTTTCCTCTATCTTTCTTTGTGTATTCTCTACACAAAACAGCTTTTAACAGACCTCTGTACATGTAATAATTTTTCAAGGTTACACTTTATAAATAAGAGTTCTCAGAGATTGTATATTTCTAGCAGAGTATAGAAAAAGTCTATATTATAGGTCTTTCAAATAGGAAAAAACTCTCTGAGATTTCATTTCGAAAGAGCGGACTCTTTTTGCTCTTAAAGTTCTTATTTGTACATAGTACATCCCTCTGCGATTAAAAGATCTCCAATGGGTTTTCCGTATATATAAAAGCTCCTCTATACACAGATTAGTTTTCGCAGGTCTTTCTTATGTAAAAGAGCTGTAGGAAACGTTCTCTCTTTCCCAAAACAGCTCTTATGAAACTTTTGAATATAATATGCTTTTGAAGTCCTTATTTAAATAACAAATCTACAGCTTTCTGAGTTCTCCTTCTTCTTCTTTTTGCATACAGAAAAGTCTCAGAGGTAATTGCCACAAATAAGAGTACTCAGAGATTTCCTCATCTCTCTGAGATCTTTTTTTTCCGGTGAAGATCTCTAAGCGGTCTTCCATACATAAAATAGCTCTAAGGGAGAGATTTTCTATACTCACATGGCCTAGAAAGCAACCTCTAAAATATACGTGACAAATCATTTAAGAGAAAACACAAATACCAATCCAAGATTATTAATAAAGCGTGTTGATACAAAAAATATATAAATTGTAACTAAGAGAAATTAATTAATTAACTAAGAGAAATTAGACTGGCGACAGAGCTTTTGCTATGAATAGCGCTGCTCTAAAAGCTCTTATATGTAGCGAATACCCCTCAGAGATTTTATGTGTGTAAAATAGAAGATCTTAGAAAACTGATATATATTCTACAGATCAGAGAGAGTTTTTTTTAACATAAATAAGAATTTCAAGAGAATTTTATCTTTAGAATACTCTTAAGAGATATAGACCCGAACTGAATCATGAATTAACATTCTTTTATTAAAATGTTCAATTTATTTATAATTTTAACCATGGATGTTGTCTAACTAATTTTTAAAAGAAATATAGGCATAGATTTGTTTGCTTATTTCTTTCAAAAGCCAAAAGAAATTAACCAGATGCAATAGAATACCTTCCTTCTCAGCTATGACCTAAAAGAACTTCCAAGGGCTAAATTTTCCGGAAATGTTAAAACATATGTAGCCCTTTTTGCATGCAGGAACTTTCAGAGGTCTTCTTTGTATCAAAGAGGAGATCTCATGAATTTTCACCACGTGAGAGAACTATCTACTTTTTTTATACAGAAAAGTTGGTAGAAAATCTTCTACGTACCTTATATTCTATAGGTAGATGTACTTTTCAAGAATTTGGCTTTAAAATTATTCTATAGCATTCTTTGCAGATTTAAAACGCACTGGCGTATCTTGGCGAGAACTTTCGTTTCGAGATTTTATTCGCCTTTGGTCACAAAGTTCTGACATCACCACATATCGACGCTCCTCTGAAGTGGTTTCATCCTACACCAATCCTGGTCATAGATCACGTCAAAGTTACAAACTAAAAATTCTTAAAGATTCACATAAAAGTATGAAACCAATAACAACAATTCGTCGAGATTTTAATGAAATATGGATATTTAACAAGGCAACAACGTAAGAAGTGTGAGATTTCACTCACCGCATTTGTAGGTGCATGTTTTCGATTAAAAGCATGTCAGATCTAGCCTCTGGAATGTTGTTTTGAGTCTAATCTGACAATAAGGATACATTTTGGTAACTAATACCACTGTAAATATTTCAATTATGTGTCAAATTCTTCATAAAGCTTGAATAGTTTCATTTATATACCCTCCACTATACATAGTATGGATGGCATATTAACTTCGTCATTTCGTTTGTAACTCATCGAAATAATACTTATAGACATAGTAAAGTATATATATTCTTGATCAGTGTAAAATTCTAAGACCATTTAGCCCTGTCCGTCTGCCCGTCTGTCCTTCTGTTGTAATCACGATAGAATCATAACGAATTGGGATAGGAAGCTAAAATTTTGCACAGATCAGTCTTTTGTGTGCCGGCAGGTCATGTTCGAAGATGGGCTATATCGTTCCTCGACATCGAATGACCTCCATATAACGGTATCCCACGATATTCGGAACTTTTATGATTTTAAGCACACTTTTCAATGGAATTGTCTGAAATTCCGCACAAGGAGTTCCTTATGTGTACTTTACTCCCTGGAAAAGAATTGTCTACGATATCGTATATCCCCCATATAACAGTACCTCCAGATATTCGGTATTTTGATGATTTTAGCCACATTTTTCCAAAGAAATTGTCTGAAAATAAACGCAAGGAGTTCCTTTTGAGTACTATACCCCCTGGAGGAGAATTTTCTATATAAATCTACGATATCATATAGTCCCCTTACAACGGTACCCCACGATATTCGGAATTTAGATGATTTTAGGCACATTTTTCGATTGTCTGAAATTCTACACAAGAAGTTCTTTCTTAGCTCCTTACCTCCTAGTAGAGAATTGTCGTATAGCCCCCATACAACGGTTCCCCCCGATATTCGGAATTTTGATGATTTTAGGGACATTACTTACCGCAGTTGTCTCAAATTTCGTATTTAGAGTTCGTAATGGGTACTACAGCATATGACAAAGAATTGCGCTTGAAGTCCCACGTCTTCGTATAGCCCCCATACGTCGGTACCTCCCTAGATTCGGTATTTTGACTATTTTATGTACAATTTTTCAGCAATTGTTTCACATTTCGTATTTGAAGTTCCTAATGGGTACAACAGCCTATGACAAAATATTGTCTGTGCAGGTCCACGACTTCTTATAGCCACCATATAACGGTCCCTCCATATATTCCGTATTTTTTTGATTTTATCGACTTTATTCACCGGAATTTTTTCATATTTCGTATTTGAAGTTAATAATGGGTACTGCAGTCTATGATAGAAAATCGTCTAGGCAGGTCCACGTCTTCGTATAGCCGCCATATGACGGTACCTGCCTATATTCCAAATTTTTTGATTTTATCGACATTATTCATCGGAATTGTTTCACATTTCGTATTTGAAGTTCCCAATAGGTACTACAGTCTATGACAGAAAATTGTCTGTGCAGGTCCACGTTTTGATATAGCCCCCACATATCGGTACCTCCCTAGATTCGGTAATTTGATGATTTTAGATACAATATTCACCGAAATTGTTTAAAATTTCGTATTTGAAGTTCCTAATCGGTACTACAGCCTATGCCAGAAAGTTGTCTATGCATTTCTACGTCTTCGTATAGCCCCATACCTCCGATATTTGGTATTTTTAAGAGTTTAGCGATATTATACACCGGAATTGTTTCACATTTCGTATTCGAAGTTCCCAATAGGTACGACAGCCTATGCCAGAAAATTGTCTGTGCATTTCCACGTCTTCGTATAACCCCATACCTCCGATATTTGCTATTTTTAAGAGTTCAGCGACAATATTCAACGGAGTAGTATGAAATTAAACATTTAGAGTTCGTAATGGGTACTACAGCCTGTGACAGAAAATTGTCTATGCAGGTCCACGTTCTCGTACAGCCCCCAAACAACGGTACCTCCCTAAATTCCGTATTTTGCCCTAAATTCCACGTCTTCGTATAGACCCCAATTTAACGACTATATTCGGAATTTTTAATATTTTAACTGAATTTTTAATGGTCTGTTTTTTAAATATCCCAATTTGTCCCAAATGTTGGAAGGTATTCAGATTTCGGCCCGACCGAACTTATTGCTTTTTCACTTGTTCATTTTTTTTGGTTTTAAAATTAATCCCAGCAGTTATTTGACGGTCACAAGTGTCAGTTTCAGTAATGTCAACTATATACCCTCTGCAATACCTATATGCCAAATAATAATGACAACTTATTACTTTTTGTATTATAAGTAAGCCATGGATTATTCCCATAAAATCTACAAGGCTAGATAATGCAACAAAATATTTGTGAGCCACATTGGTGGAACAACCCCTTACAGGGTAATGTTAAGAAATGTCCCTTTGCATTACAAGTAGAGAAAAAAATAATTCTCATTACCAAATCATGTGTATTGACGGCACAGAGTTTGTGTAACCCACAAAAAAATCCGAGGTTTGTGAGTTCAAGACTTAATAACTAAGAAAAACTCATTATTTGATAGCTTACTGGTAATCAAGGAGGTATGTAGTTGTCATTAAAAATTATGCTAAAAGTCTACCATTTTTTTTTTGAAGAAAATATTCTGTGTCTATATGACTATTGGGCTCTTTCTTAAATGGACAACTCAACGAAAATAACACTGTGCAACAAAAAATATTACGTAGAAAATCCAGCAGATTATGGAAGTAGAGCTAAAAAAGAAGACACTCGGCGTTTTGAAAGTTTACATCGCAAAGTAACCTAAAAAAGGCTTTTTTTGGTATATAGTGCCTTTGGCAACACTGCTGAGAAAAAAGCGAGGAATATTTTGGTCGCAAATTTTAACCCCCAAGCGAGTCTTGTTTTTTTAGCTCTACTTTCATAATCTCATGCATTTTCCACGTAGTTATTGAAAATATTAAAATTTGTTGCACAGTGTAATTATAGGTATATGGATTAAAACGGAAATACTTTTATTAATCAAACATCGTCCAATTGCTTTCAGAATATCCATATATTAGACCCTTTTTTCGATCGCAACACATACTTTTAAATCGAGGTGGCATTCCCCAATCATTGGGTCCAGTGGTGTTGGCGGCAAGCCCTGTTTCTAAGATTGATTTCGTTTCTAAATCGCCGTCGAAACCAAAAATTCGTAAAGATTTCGCTGAAACTTGGATATTTAGCGACATAAATAAGTAAGACAAAAATATAGACATACATTCATGTTGAGTTTAAATTTTGCGTTCATGTTTCTAACCAAGGTCCATAATATTTTGTGTTCCATTGCCTAAAACTCACATCAAAGTTATTCATATAGTAATTTTTATACTATTGAAGTCATAAGGGAATTTCAGGATTTAGGATCTTTGAATGTCTCCTTTAGATGGAATGTTTTTGTGCTTAATTCGTGGATGTGCAGCAAATTTTAGTTAGTTTAATAATTACGGGGAAAATCATGCAGATTTTGAAAGTACAGTTAAAAATAGAAGACATGTGTATCGGCGTTTTTTTAAGTTTACATCGAAAAATATCCCAAAAAAGGGGGGGGCAAACTTTCCCCTCTCAACCACATTTTTAGAAAAATTCGGATTAAGATTCCTTGGACTCCGTTAATTTTAGGTATACAGGGTGAGATGAAGTAACTGCAACCAACTTCAAACTGCTGTCATTTCTAAGCCAGCTGTTAAAATTATTCCACTGACAGCTTATTACATTGTTTACAAGCGTACAAAAGCATTTTGGTGAGAGATTTCCAGAAAAAAAGTTATTTGTGATGGATTTCAAGCGTGATAGTGTGATTTCTTTATATTTGGCTGGAAAACGGCAAGTGGCTATCATAAGAGCACTCCAGCATTTAAATGTGAATAAATCTAAATTGTGTCTCGTACTATTGCTCTTAACCCTGATGCTGGTAGCCTGATAGCGTAGCCCGACGTCATGGAGGTGGACGGAAGAAAACAGCAACATCAGAAGAAATGGTTCGAAAAGTAAAGAAGCGACTTGATCGAAACCCGCGTCGCAGTGGCTCGTGAGCTGAACATATTGCAATATTCCATTCAGCGAATATTGAAGAATGAGCTCAGGGTAAAGCCATTGAAATTCCAAAAAGTGTAAGAACGTATACCGCAACAGAAAGAAAGTAGACTCAAAATACCTAAAGAGTTGCTTCGCTTGGCCGAAAGTGGTGAACTGCCGAATTTGGATTTCTCCGATGAGAAAACATTCGTTGTCCAGCAGAGCAGTTTGTAAACAAACAAAATGATCGTATTTACTTGCCAAAAAGGTCAGCTAAAAATGTGCACCTTCGGTTGGAAACCAGAACTCAAGCGCCGGCCATGGTGATGGTGTGGGCCGCCATAACAGCCGATGGTCGCTTTCCGCTCGTATTAATCGACCGTGGCATCAGAATAAATGGCGAATATTATTGCGAAAATATTTTGGAGTGTGTATTAAAGCCTTGGTCACGCAAACATATTGCCGCAGACCTTGGACATTCCAACAGGACATAGCAAACATTGCACTCAGCACGCGCCAACCAAGAATGGTTAGAAAATAAGGTTCCACGCTTCATTTCCAGCGCACAATGGCCACCAAAATCTCCAGATACCGATCTGTTGGACTACGGTGTCTGGAGTATTTTGGAAAGCAAGGTTGGCACTAACAAATACCAAAGTGTCGATCACCTCAAGAATGTACTTCGCCGGTCCAAAATACCGCAGAGCAACATTCGGGCAGCGTGTGACGGTTTCATTGGCCGTTTGAAGGCCATAATTCGTGCCAAAGTTGACCAATTCGAACAAATCTAAACTTATTCTAAAATTTGAAGCTATTTCCGACATTTTTTGCTTTCATTCAGTAAAATTTAAAAAAAAAAAAATGGAAAAATCATGGCGTTTGACTTTGTTGCAGATTTTTTATTTCACCCTGTAGGTCTTAGAAGACATCAAAATTCTAAATCTTACCTAAGCGCCA